GGGTGAAAAAGGGGAGGGGGAGGGGCCAGAAGAAGAGGGTTGGGGCAGGATAGGGCTGCTCACAGGAGGAACCATGGAAGCTGCCTCCATGCCTCTTGCTGCAAGCAGCATCCACTCGCTTCACCTCCCCCCCTTATTATCACATGAATGATGATCTCCAGGAAGGTGTTGGTGAACAGACTGAGAAACAAGTCATTTAAAATTATTGTAATATTTCAGTCAAAAACAAGTGAAAAAAATGAAAAATATAACCTTTTCTGCTTTTCTATAGTGAGTTTCCTCTTCAAGGCCTTTTTTGGTGTTCGGAAGTCCTCAACTTTTTCAGTATCAACTGTTTTTTCAACCATTCACTAAGTTCTGTCTGCAATAACTTGATTTTCAAAGCATAACATTTAGCTAGATAGACTTACAAGTGAATGTTTAGTTTGAGAAGATGCCTGAATAACAAGCGGTAACACTTGTTGTCCTTTACAGGTATTTGTTCTTCCTTTGGAAGTACTTCTTTTAAGTATTTAATCTGTTCTCTGTTCCAGTATCAGTCCTTCCCATACAACAAAAATGGATTCAAAGCAGGAATGAAGTTGGAAGGAGTGGATCCTGAGCACCAGTCAATGTACTGTGTTCTTTCAGTGACTGAGGTAAGTACCCAAATTTTAACTGAAGTTTGAGGCCAAGAATAGAAGCATCTTAGGAATACAATAATTACAGTACTGGAACAATGATCTGTTTAAAGTGTTGTATCTAGCATCCTGTCTTCAGTGGTGGTCAATGACAGAATTTTTGGAGAAGGATGTAGTACTGCTGTAAGACAGTTAATTGCCTAATGCCAAGCCAGGTAGAAAATGTCCTTCTAATTAATGAGAATTCTATTAGATTATAGCAGAGAATCATGTGAAAACTGTATCTGGGTGCCAGATGAAGAACTACTATAAATGCGCAGACAGTGTGTGTAAGCATACATAACAATATTGTTGTTATATTGTTGTATAATACAATTGTAACAATATAACTATGATTATGTTGTGTTGGAGAAATCTATGTTTAAAGTAAAATATCAAAAGAAGAAAATGCATAAAAGATGCCAATTCTTGTAGTTTTATTGGGGAAGATCCAAATTATTTAGACAGGACTTTGGTGCTATTTAAGTGCCTAAGTCAGAAAAAGTGGTCCAGAGCTACTCAGATCCAGTAACCCCAAAATAAAAGTTAGGTACCTTTGTTTTGGCATGAATGAGTTTGTTCAGGATTTCTGCTTAATCTTGTGTCCATGTGCAAAAGCAATCCAAGTCAGGCATCTATGGGTGCTTACAGACATGGAAAAAAAACCCCATCACTTTACTTTCAGCTTTGTGCACCCCTGTGCGAAGCGCAGCATGTGCCCAGAAGAGAAATCACATCAGTTTGACTCAACTACCCAGAAGCTGTATAGCTCACACGCCGAAGCACGTAAGCTATATAAATACTGGGCAATCTGGGTCAAACTGATGTGATTCCTGTTCTGGTAAAGAACTGTTTTGGTTTTTTCCCCACATCTGTCAGCACTCTATGTGCTTAACTATGGGCTAATATTCATGGCTCTTCAGATCGGTGCTCAAAGTTGCTGTAAGGTTTGCCAAAGTTCCTGATCTGTTAGATATTCATGGACCATACCTGGCACCTGACTGAAATTGGCAGCAGTGAGTCCAGTACTGAATGTGGAACACCATGTTTATTCTTGCCTACCTTTGGATGCCAGGTTATTTCTATCTTTTGAGCAACAAATGCAGGGGCAGAGTCCAGGACTTCTCTCCCAGAGGAGTGCACTCCTCACCTGGCTGCAGAGAAGTGCACCTTCTTACTGGCTCTCCTTCAGACTCCATGACTCTTGCAGTCTTGGTGGCAGCATGGCCCAATTTCAAAAAGAAATGTGGAAGAGGCCCCTCAGCCTATTATGTAATCCAGTAGTTAGGACACTCTCCTGAGAAGTGAGAGACATCAGTTTGAGTTACTTCTGGTTTGAGGAGGGCCTAAAACTTACATCTCCCATTTCCTAGGCAAATGTTGTGACCACTAAACTTTTGTGCAAAAGATGAGCACCACCACTATCATCAGGATGTCAAGAGTAAACTTTGGGTGCTGTGCTTTGTAGTAAACTCAGTGCTGCTCTCAGTGTGGTTCAGGCAGGGCCCTCCTTTCTGCCCATGCTGGATCTCAAGCTGCCGGAAGCTCATACCATTGTACCTCCTTGTATTTCCTATTGGCTACCTCTAGGCACCTCTGTGCTCAGCTGCTGGGTGACCTGAATCAACCTTTGAAGATGCCTAACCCTTTGAGTTCCTGGGGCACTGTGCCTAATTTTTAGGCATAACAAGGCGAAGTATAGACATCTATGAGAATCATTTGTATGTAGGCCACACTAGCCCAAACATAATGCTTATTCATACTGGTATATAACCATTTCTTTTGTGCTTTATTTAACTGTTTGCCCCACGAAAACCATCTAGTAGCAAGTTATGCATTGTAAACTTAATTCTGCTCTCTTTGCTTGTACTGGGTAGTGTCTTACCCTGTGATCAGCCCATTAGGATTTAATAACATGAGCAAAAATAGCAGAATTGGCCCTTTTTTATTTACCTTCTAATTTTATTGAGTGGTTTTTGTTCTTCCAATGTGTTAACCAAGAAGAACTGATTGCCTTCTCTGTCCCAATCTCTATTTTACTGCTGTGCTTGTCATGGTTTCATAGTGGGAGTTATCTCCATGTTCTGAGCCTCTTCACAGCCATGCATTACTTCCCTTTTGTAGAAAGGTCTATTATCTTTATCTGAAGTTAGCATGTACGGTAGTTCAGTATAATCAGAGCCCCAGATGGTAGCAGAACCTGCATTATTTGTCCAGATGCCCTGGCTTTACTGACACTTTGAAGGTAAACACTGCAAATTCTGTTATAAAGTTTGTTAAATGATATCAATTTGAATTATGGTCAGCTAGATAGGAAAAATAATAGTATGGTCAAATAGACAAATGATATTAATCTATATTAATGTTGGTAGATTTTTTTGCCACTCAAAATTTTCAAGGTGTTGGATTAATCTGTTGACATTGAAAGGTACATTGTAGAAAATATTCTGGGGCAAAAGTTTTTCACAGCTGGGTACAGATCATTTAAGTCAGGAAAGTGTGGGGAGTAGCAGGGGAAGTGTAACCTCCCAGAAAACTTCAGCAGTAGAGAAGAAATGCTGATTTTGGGGATCTCTTCCACATTTCCTCTTACATTATGATTCTTATTTATCTTCTTGTCTGGCTCTGACCCATTTTATCTAGTGTTCTAGTAGTGCTGTTCTATGCAGCAGTTAAAGAGGGTTTCTTCACTGCACCCAGAACTGCACTTTCTCATTGGGCTCCTCCGCACAGTCATTAATGGGTCTTAGGTGCTGTGCATTTAATTTACTACTTCCGTAATAAAGTACTAACTAAACGTGCAGAGGTGATGCAATCACCTACCCTGGAAATCTTCAAGAGGAGACTAGACAGTCACCTTGCTGGGGTCACCTGACCCCCAGTTATGTTTCCTGCTTGGTGCAGGGGGTTGGACCTGATGATCTTCTGAGGTCTCTTCCAGCCTTACAATCTATGAATATGAAGTTACTGTGCATTAGCACCAGCACATGGTTAATTACTGACACTTACTGCACATTAACCTAATAATACTGTGTAGTAGGCTATTAGCTTGGTTCATGTTGTGATGCTTTACTGTGCAGTGTTATTAGGCCAGTGCACAGTAATTATCTCATGTAGATGTGTCCATGGTGGCATGTAGTGTCTCCATATACTTTTCAGGCTTCTGTTTTCTTTTAACATTGTTAAGTTTTCTCTTACAGTTTTGAATGATAATAAGAATAGCTCTTAGTGCTTTTCATCAGCAAAAGTTTTCGCATAAGTTCCAACTTTGCTTTTTCTCTTCCCTTTATTATGATGATTTATTTTTATTATTGACATGAGCAAAATTGATATACCATGAACATATAGCATCATGAGCAAACTGTTATGTACAAAGGAGACATCTTAGAACTTTTATTAAGTTTCTACTTTGCTAATTGTGGTTTTAGGTTTGTGGTTACAGGATACGACTCCATTTTGATGGCTACCCAGGTTGCTATGACTTCTGGGTAAATGCTGATTCTTCAGACATTCACCCGGTTGGATGGTGTGAAAAAACAGGGCATAAACTTCACCCACCAAAAGGTATTGTCTAATTCAAAATATAAAGGTCTGTTTATTTTTTACAGTTTTAAATATAGATTATCACTATCTCTGTAATGCCTGGATTTTTTTCTTTTCATCAACACTTTCCTTCATCTTGTCATCATATTCTAACATTGCATCTTGCTTTCTTTTATTCAGCAGTTTGGAAGTTTGTTTTCTTATTTGCATTGTATATAGTGGTATTGTGAAATGCCAAAATACTGTATAAACATATTTTTATTGAAATGATTTAAAATACCTTGATTTGTTTTGCAAATAACAATCTAAGAGCAGCCTACCTGTTTGTTTCTCTTATAATTTTCCATGCATAGAATCTGATTATTTGAGGGTTGTCTTAAATCCATACCCCACACCACATACTGTTAGAACTGTTAAGTGTGCAAACATGATTTACAAGATGAACCTAGATACTTCAAATAGTAATCCTTAGTGTCACAAACAATCTGACTGTTGCAGTCTTTCTGACTTCTTTTCAACAGCAGAATTGCTCTATTATTTTTCTGTAGTCAAAAACTGAGTGAAAAAGCTGACATTTTCTGCAGAGTCCCTTGAGCCTTAAAGAAGTGAGAACCATTATTCTAATTGTTTTTTAAAAGACAGCTTGACCTGGAGCTCCAGGTCAGCTTCCCTTCAGAAAATAAATCAAGGATTGCAGGCATATTGCTACAATGTATTTGGTGGGAAAAAATCAGAAGCTTTGAAAACAATGTGACATGGAAGGTCCTAAAATAGAACAAGAATTTTCCTTTAAAAAATGCTGGCCCCTAAAGTCTGAGGCAGATACTTTATTGTGAAAGCCTAATTATACAAAGATGTAGCATTTGTTTTATAAATCAAAATAAACAAATGTTAGCAAACCAAACTAAATGAAAAGACCTAACTTAACATTATAAAACTAAATTTAATCTAGGCTATAACCCTTTTAAAATACATTAAAGCAATATGTAGCATAATTGCTCACTGAAATTTCATTTTGTGTGTGTGTGTATGTGTGTGTGCATGCACGTAATGCCTTAATAATGATGTAATTTCACACACTATTGGTAATGACATTTCATCAACAAATGATTAAGAAGAAACAAGAAAATTCATGTAATAAAAATGTTCTGATAACCAGAAGAGGCTGAAAAGAAACTCGGAAAAAGATAAGAAGATAGAAGATTGTGGTAAATTATAAAACAGTGGTGCTCAACCTTTTGACCTGTGGGCTAGATGAGTAGTACAGAGCTGGTCCATTGGCTGCATCCTACCTGGGGTTGCCCAGATTAGACCCTGTGCATCTAGATCTACCTGAGTACCACCCAGATCCAGCACTGTGCTTCCCTGGCCCTCTGTTCCCAATCTAGTGTGCAGGGCCATGCTACCTGTCCGCAGGGGTCTGGAAATTTGGCAGCTGGGTGCTGGCAACGCTGCCACTGCTCCCCTACCACCAATTTTTGGATTCATGGGGAGCCCTGCAGACAGGCTCCACCGGGTCGATGTGGCCTGGGGACCAAGAACTGAGCACCCTTGTATGAGATACTAGAGTCTGTTTTCTAGTTAGTGAAATATACGCCTCTAATTAGCATCAATGGGAGTTCTTTCTGCATGTTGACTAGAAAAGAATACTATATTTACTCATATGAGATGAGATTCCTCCCCCTCTGTCCTCCATCATGGTGAAAAAAGTCCCTTGTCTTACAGACACATACAAGGCAACCTCACTAAATACATTTTCTGTTGTTAAACTACTGCCAAAAGCAGCATGTGCTCAGTAATGGAAACCAGCTATGAAGTTGATTAAATGCAACCAACACTGAACATGACTATAAAACACATGGCCCATTTTGGGCAAACGTTGATATTTTTTTTTTTAATTTCAAGTCTTGGGCTAAGTCAGCCAAATCCTTGGAGTTCAGCTGCCCCCTAGTCTCGCTTGTCCCTAGCCAACAGGGTGAGGGAAGCTGCTGGGGCTGGGGGAGGTACCGGGCTCTTCCCAGTGTGGGGATGGGCTGGGGCTGTGCTTGGGACAGACAACTCTGGGAGAGGGGCTACAGGGAGAGGGGGGGCTGCAGCCACCCCAAAATTCTCTGTAGCCCCCCTCCCAGCACCACTGCTGTCTACCCTGAGTGCAGCCCTGTCCCAGCCATTCCCTGGGAAGATCCTGGTGCCGCCCCGGCCCAGCCTGCAGCGGCAGCCTGCCCTCACCCTGCACTTGGATCCGGGAGCACAGGCCCCCCATGTCCTTCCGAGGTGTATGCAGCGGCTTGAGCCACCCTCCCTCCCCACGCCCCCCCAGACGAGCCACTCATGGCTCCATCCTGCACCCTGGCCTGACTTTGCAGTGCCTCCCCCTGTCCCAGCCGCAGCTCCACTTGCTCCCTCACTGTGGGGGCCTTGATCTGCTCCTGCCTTGCCTCTTCCCTCGCAGTAGACTTACAAGCTGGACCCAGCTTCTCTCCACACTGCTGGTCTGTGCTCTTGGCCGCCTACAAGCTGTGCTGTGGCTACACGCATGCATGGGGCATTTATCCATGACATTATTGGCCACATCAGCCAAAAAAAGCTGATTGCCAATATTATCAATTTTCCTTATATCGATGCTGATCCTGTATAGGACCAATGTATTGGTGCACCTCTAGAAGCATTTGTAGACTCTCACAGGGGTCAGCCTGCATGGAGTGCAACATGCGAATGGGACCCTACCACAAGGATATGTTAGTGCAGTCCATCTGAATAAGATATATGGTAGTACCTCAGTGTTGACTCTTCACTCTGAGACCTGCAGAAAGCACTGAGGGCTAGATGATATGGCTCTATGGGACAGATCTTTCACACTTCTAATACAGAGGATGAAGGAAAGATAATATTATTCCTATTTTACTACTGGGAAGCAAAAGTGTGGTTTCCCCGAAGTTACCTAGGAAATTTGTGTTAGAGCTGAGAAACTAAATCAGATCACCTGATCTCAATCCATTGTCTTAACCACAAGATCATTCTTCCTTGTATGTGAAGGTTAGGGATAGTCAAAACCTAGAGTCCTAGAAAACAAGAAAAAGGTAATCAGCATCTGCTCAGAAGTTAAAAACACAGGTCATAATCTTATTTGATCAGTTACTGAAAAGATCACAGCGCATGGTGATAGGCAAACTCAGCTAACTGATGACACAGGGATTTTGCTAGTGAGGTAACGCCTAAATAAAAATAGAAAATCTTCACCAACCTGCTTTTCTTTTGACCAGTTTCAAGGGCATCTATAAATTAAGGTTGTTATCCTGAATCAGATTCTTTTTCTATAGAATCACATTCTTTCATAGAGTAATCTGAGTATACCTGGAGTTAAATAAGAAAACAGTATAACCTCATAAATCTGGATCTCAAAAATCCCAAATTCTCAAAAATCTGGCACTGCTCCGGGACAAGCTGCTGCTCTCCCCCCCCCCCCATATGGGGGGGGAGAAGCTTGTACATGGCGGCTACTGCTGCCATCCACCACCCTGTGATGCCATGCCGCATGCAGCTACTGCTCCAGGACCGACAGTCACTTCCTTCCCCCTTCCCTTCCACCCCCCCCAGCCTCCCAGCTCTGCGATCGACCACTTGGTTTTCAAAAATTCAGCATTTTTAAATATCTGGCGGGTGCTTGGTCCTGAGCACGCCAGATTTATGGGGTTATACTGTAATGAAACAGGTCACCATGTCTTTAATATTGTGAAGTTAAATAATTCCAAGCTATTTTTCCTGGTCCTGAAATTATAATATCGGTTGATTTTGCACTAGATTAAAAAAATGAGTTGTTGAAGGAATAATTTTGCAAAGGAGTATGACTGACATACCTGTAATTGACACATTGTGTCTTATGTATATTTTATTGACTCATGCTTTTGTGGCCATTTTGTAGGCTATAAAGAAGAAGAATTTAACTGGTCCTCATATCTAAAGACATGTAAAACTCAAGCTGCCCCTAAATCTTTGTTTGAAAATCAGAATACAGTAAGTATTCCTAATTTTCTGTTAGCAGGTTCTCCTTTTTATTTCAGTGACAGTAGATTTCAGAAAGCTTTTTGACAGTTTCCTCATAATAATTAATGTAATATTAATCTTCATTAAAATAAACCTCTAAAATCCACATGAAATAATCAGCATATTCCTCTGATATATCATATTCAAAAACCATATTAAAAGAACATTGAGATTCTGAGATTATGTCTTTATTTTTTATGATTGTATGAAGTGACCTGTACCTAATATTGTAGGACTAGAAACAGTCTGTCAGAGAGAGATTTGACTGAGGCAGAGTCAAAACCCAAGTGAACACATTTTGCAACATGCTCAGAGTGTTTTAGTTTATAACTCATGATCTTAAGAGTCTGCATCTGTGTTTGATAATCTTTCATGTCAGCAAATTAGGCTGTTGCCACACTATTGGGGCAGTTAATTGGTATCTTGAAATGACATGAATGTATTGATTGTGGATGCCATGGAGGTTTCTGGATGTGTGCCATATTATTTATCTTTAATTAAATCTCTCTCTTTGAGTAGACAGTGATTCCATCGGGATTTCGAGTGGGAATGAAGCTTGAAGCAGTAGACAAAAAGAATCCTACATACATCTGTGTTGCTTCGGTAACAGACATGGTGGACAATCGTTTTTTGGTTCATTTTGACAACTGGGATGAGAGTTATGACTACTGGTATGTTGCATTGCAGTAAAAGTCATATCAGAAATGTGTTAAATAATATCTTTCCCTAACATTTCCTATGCTTTTGATGTAACTTTGCATAGATTTTATAATCAGAGGAATTAATTCATTAAAAGTCCATAGTAAACTTAAAGGGCCAGGTTTTAATATATAGGTTTGGGTTGCATGTGCACAACTTGTAAAAGATTGTGCAAAACAGGTACTTAGTTACATGTGACACTAATTTTGGCAGTGTGTGCAATACTTTCTCACTTTAATTTTGCAGGACATATTATGATTGCTGTCTCTAGTGAGAAATATTTACCTAAGCATAGTGATTTTTTCATTGCGGGCAGGATTGTCTCTTAACCAGTTACAGCATGGTTCCATGATGCTGCAGAGAAAGAACTTTAGGTCCCTGACACTCAATACATTTAAGACATTACAAAATATGTGCAACAAATCTGTGGCTGGTTCTTATTGTGTCTTTAATTGAATGTGTGACTGGTGCGCAGCTTAGCAGCTAGGAGCCCTGATCAGCCAATTGGGGCTTCCTGGGCTAGAAGTTATTTAAGTTTATCATAACTCAGAGCCAGGGAAGCACATCTTGCATTGCTGTGGCTGGAAACTCCGATCAGCTGATGGGGCTTTCAGCTGTGTGAGTGCATGGTACAGTTCCCCAGTTGGATGCCCAACTTTCTATTTGCCGATGCAGGGGGATCCTTGGGTTGGTCTTCCTCAGTATGGACAAAATGGTGCAAGGGGATCTGATGCGGCTTTGCATCAGATCCCATTGCACCTTTTCTTTAATGTCTGTTAGGGGCCTAAGTTGTGTGTTCCTCAGGCTTTGACACAGTAAGAAACCGTGTTTTCTTGTACCTTGCAAAATTAATTTACTAATTTAATGACAAATCCACAAAGATATTTAGGTGCTTCTGGCAGGGCACCTTTGGTGCCTGTCACTTTAAGGGTCAGAACAGGCAGCAGAGCAGCCTCGACATGGCTCCCAGTCAGGGGAGTCACATGGCCAGCAGGAGGCTGCCTGATTGGGAAGTGAGCACAGCTGGTAGAGATAAAAGCAGGCCCTGAGCAGCAGGACCAGCAGTTTGCTGCAAGCAGTCGAAGGGGGAACATCACCCGGCTGGAGCTGCTTCTCACATAACATCTTGGAAGTACAGGGCAGAAACTGTGGGGATGGCAGGAAGTTCTTGGTCCTGGGGCATGACCTAAAACTACATCCTGCTAGGGACGGATAGTGTGGTGGGGCTGCTCGTTGTGGGATGGTCCTCAGAAAATGCCACATCAGTTGCCTCCCTAGTGAAAGGTGAGTATAGGGTGTCTTATATCCTCAGTTCCCACAACCTGGTGGGTAACCCACCAGTAGGGATAGGAAGGAGGCCAGGCACATCTGCGGACACCTGAGTCCCATGGGGTGTAAGACCCTGAGGCCTTAGTGAAGGCAGACCAAGTAGTGGCTCCAGCAAGGGGGTGGAAGAGTGACTGTAGTGAGGAGGTGGAGTGCTGGCCCCAGTGAGGGGGCATAGAGTGGGTAGTAGGCTACACAGAGCAGGGCCCGCAGGGGCAGCCTGAAGGGCTGTGCATGATGGTACAGAGTAGGATCCTTATAGGCGGCATTGAAGGGCTGCACAGGGGTGCGTAGAGTAGTGTCTGTGTGATCCAAAGGACTGCACAGAGGCTGGCCCCAACAGTTCAGTGATGCAGACCCTAAATGAGTGGAGGCACTAGAAAGAGTGCAGAGGTCCAGGCATGTATGAGAAGGCCTGAGTGTAGTTGTTACTTTGGATGCCATCTGCGAAGCATGGGTGTGCCCTGCTCCTAGTGGGTTATGAACTTAAGGGGGGAGTTGTGTTGCAGGGCACTGAAGTGCCTGCTCCTAGGGCAAGGTACAGGTGCCAGTTGCTGGGGCAACCGCAGTTCGGTCAGCTGACCGAAAGGGGGAAGGGCCTGGCCTATATAAACAGCCTAGGCTGAGGCCAAGGAGAGGCAGTTCCCCGCTAACATCCCAGGGAGAAGGAACTCTGCTGGAGGGTGCAGCCTAGAACAGCTTGATGGCCTGAACAGCTTTGGTTCGAGGATACTGGGAGGAGAAAGCCTGGGTAGGGGATTTGATTGATGATTAGCCAGAGGGCTTAGAGTTCACATTTTGCCAGGAGGCTTAGTTCTTGAGTTGTAGCCAGTTGGCTTATGGTTTTGCTTTGTTGTTACACTGGAGGACCGGGTGAGGCTGTAGGGGTTGGAGGAGGCCTCATAGGAGCTCCCCAGTAGCGTGGGAGTTCCTGGCACTGGAGAGGGCGCCCCGTTTTGGGGGTATTGACCCTGGCCGCAGTGGGGCAGTGTTGTGCGGGAAAAGCCCCAGTGTGGGTGCAGGCGAGGAGCCCCAGTGGGGTGTAAGACCCGAGAAGGCGGGTCTGGGGGCCAGGCATGGCTACGGCCACCTGAGCCTCAGTGTGGGTTGTAGACCTGAGGAGGGGGTGCACTGACCCCCGCCGTGAGAAGGGGCACAGTGCATTGGGGACCAGGCATGGCTATGGCCACCTGAGCCCCAGTTGTGAGGAGCACCAGAGTGGGCACCGGCGAGAAGCCCCAGGGAGGGTGCACAGGACTAGAAGCCCCAGGGAGGGTGCACAGGACTAGAAGCCCCAAGAGGGGAATTTGGGGGCCAGGCACAGCTACGGCCACCTGAGCCCTGATCGTGAGGCAGGGCCCCAGTGCGGGCAGAACTGAGAGAGAGAGAGCCTCGGTGAGGGCGCAGCCGCGACAAAGGCCGGAGAGCGTCCGCGGGGAGCACGGAGAAAGGCCCCAGGGTGGGCGATTGAGACGAGCCCAAAGGGCGTCTGCAAGGGCGCGGGCAATAGTAGGCAAGCAAGGGGGCGCTGTGAGGGTGCGGCAAGGGATTTTGACAAGACAATGACCGGTACATCTGAGAGGCTTGGGGTGTGGTATTAGGGGTGGTAGGAGCCACATGTAGCCCTTAAGGCTTCAGTGCACGGGGTCAGCTGAGACGGGGCACTGACCAGGATACATCAGGGGTACCATGTCTAAGGGGTTGATAAGGCAGCCTCCCATAACATTAATACCATCAAAGACGTGGCGGGCGAGAATGAGGGTGCATTTATACCAACTTGGCACGGTAGGGGGCACTAGGAGAGTTCACGGCCACTCCTAGGTCCCCGCCCTGTGACAATGGGACACAGTATAAGGAGAGGTCCGGAGCTGTATATAACACCTTTGGCATCAGGCATCAGCCTCCCGCATTATTACATGCTTTTTTGTATAGATCAAGTTGTGGCAGGCAAGACAGGGCAGGCTGCTTTAGACAGGTGGGCAGGCTGACTCAGTGACCGGCTTTATGACGGCCCCTTGTCACAGTGCTTAACTTGGGTTGATTTCAGTAGGAGATAGGCAGGTTAACAGGAGTAAGTTGCTTAAATATTTTTGTGGAGCTGGAGTGAACTTTCCTGGTTTGTTGCATTTATGCTCTGCAGTGGTTATGGTATGGAATGTGTTAGGGACATGAAGGATGAGCAGATGTGAAAATGAATTATGCACTGGCTTTGTCAACTCTAACTTTATTACCAGTGCAGCCTACAGAGTTCTTCCATAGTTCAGTTTTTGATTTACAACATGCAGATTTGTTTTTTCTATACCTACTACTACTACAGTTAGCCAGGAAAAGGACATACACTAATAACAAAATATGCTTAATTGCTTTTTATTTTAATCCAAACTGTAGTAAAGTCTGTGTGATAACCTTGGAGCTCTATCCAGATAAACCTCCATAATTTTAATATTATCTAAAACTGATTAAAGCATTGCATGTCTTAATATATCTAATAATAAGTTTCATCCTCAACTTTGAGTTTACACTTTACTCCGAGAATCTATTAGTATTGTGATTTAGGACTGAAATATATTATTTGTAAGGCAGAAAAATAAGGAACTGCTTGTTACCTGAAAATAAAAGGTATACGAGATTCTTTGCATCTGTGCTTGATGAGACATTCAGATTCCACAATGATCAGTTTAGTGTAAGAACCTATCCAGGGTAGAATGGATTGAACCAATTACAGAACACCCAAGGAGTCCATGATTGTAGACCAGTGGTTCTCAATCTTTTTAGACCCAAGGCATCCCTTGGAAAATGCCAGCTTTTAGCTTTCATTCATTTCTTGGCTATGGAAAAATAATAGAGCAATTTTTCTGTTGCAAGCAGCTCAGAAAGACTACTGTAGGTCAGAATGCTTGACCATGATGGATTCTTATTTGAAATCCCTTGATTTTTCTTGTGAATAATTTGTAGGTGTCTGCACATCACACAGTGCTCGCATTGGACAGCACACTGCAGCTTCCTTAAAAGGATCTCATGGCACTCCAGCATGCTGCAGTACCTTGGTTAAAAATCAGTGTTGTAGACGCCTAGGACAGAGAAACTGTAAAAGAATTAAATTACTGAGATAATGTGAAGCAGGTGTTTCAGTAAACTGTAAGAATTCAGAACACTGAGTCATGGGTCATATTCACAGGTTATATAACCATATGGAATTAGGGCTCAAATAGTAAAAGGACTAATGGTAATTTCTTGGAAATTTTTTGGTACTGAAGAAATAGCAAGTGACTGAAAAAACCCACTTTATTTATTTAGATTGAAATAATAACTAAAATGGCACCTCTCTAAAGTTTGAGATATTCTTTTATGTCATTGACGTCATTGAATGGGTAACACAGTACTCAGACAAATTCAGTTCACTAGCTGACTAGTTGAGTAGTATGGAAAAATAGTGTCTTAGCACTTTTAAGGCTAATCCTGTAAGGTTTTATCAGAATCTGCAGGGAATCTTGTTCCCCTGTGTAAATTTTAATGAAAAATTTTCCTGCCTGAATAGAAAAGTTTAGGGGTGATGATGCTGGGATATATTTATGGGAAGGAGACCGAAGCCTGAAATTTTGTGAAGTATGTAAATGTCTTAGAGATGAATGGAAAAAAAAATCCA